TTAGGAAACACTACCCAACACAACAGTCTAGGAATGGAGGAAGTAGGGAGCAAATGCTTAAAGTTTTTGATGTTTTGAAAAAGCTTAAGATTTTAAAGTTAATCTCTGAAAAGAGATCTTTAGAGTATGCCCAAGGACTCTTTGAATTCTTACGTCGGGAAAAAGTATGTCTTTCCCAGGTATGTACTGTTCTCTACCTTCTTCTTCCTGGTGGTCAAAACTGGGATGTTTAATAAAGATCAGGGAAATAGTTAATGTGCTCACTATTCTGTTCCTAATCTAATGGTTTGTTATTTAATGGATAGTTTATGCCCTGTTAGCACATCAAAAATGGTGTAAAGTTTACCAAAATATTGATGTCAGTCAATAAATATTTATTAAGCACCTGCTACATGCCCTAATTGCACACTGTGTTAAGTACTAGGAGTACAAACAAAGAAAACTGTCAGGCATAAACAATGTATGGGAATTTAGGAGTAAAAATAGGTCAGGAAATCAGACACTCTAGTTCGCAAGGGAATAAGGACAAGATGATTGGCGGCAGCCACAAGACCTATTAAATTTATGGGCTCAAAGCTTGTTTTTCTGGAGAGTCAATTTGTTATGAGTTGTGAATTAAATTAGTTTAGTTCAGGTGAATGAATTTCTGTGGAGGTGGTCCTTTGTTATTATTATTATTATTATTAATTTCATGTCTGAGAGATGACAGTGTATGTGATTCCATGGGAAAAACAAAACAAAACAATATGACCTGGTTCTCACCCATCTGCAGTAATTTTCATGAATGTTCTCCCTAACCATCCTTCTGCTGCTCAGGAGTTAGTCCTCATGGTTAGTGCAGAGTCTGTTTAGCTTTTACTGCCATCAAGTTCTTTCATGATCCTAGAAAAGTGGATGTAAATGACACCAGACCTACCCATTTCAGCAAACTGGAACTAGAATAATTATCAAGTTATGCTGCTTCTTTTTTTTGAAGGTGTAGGGGAATGAAACATTGTTTAAATGGTAGATCAAATTCAAACCTTAATATATATATATCTGAATGTGCTTCTGCAGAATTTGCCAGATGATTGAAATGCTGTGTATTACCCTCCAAATCAAATTACAATAATAAACAGAAAGGTGTATTTACATTCATTTAAGCTCACATGTAGTCATAAAGCCAAAAGCAATAATGATGCAGTAAAAACATCAAGTGACTAATGTATCATTTCTCTCTTATTTCCTTCTCTGTTGCCTTCTTACCCACAACCCCTGACTTCGTCTGCTCTACTCCTGCCTTATAATGATCATTATCACCATCGTGTCATACCTTAGATTTATATAGTGCTTTTTTCAGTTGTTGTAGTGCTGAAATTTACAGGGAAGACAGTTTATCAAGAACTAGAAACTTGGAGAGATCAAAAACACAAAGACAAGCACAGTTGGATCCAAAATATAGATAGAAAAGAAATCATCTTCCTTGTTTCCTGTAATCAAGCCTGAAATTTTTACCTCTGAAATTCTTATTTAACCTTAAATTTATCACCTTCAGAGAATCATCTCACCCATACTTTCAGATCAAAAACACTGTTATTCTCACCTAAGACACATCTAAATTTGTCAAACTTTTGGCATAAAAATAACATTACTGTAGGAAATATGGTCAAATATTGCATAAGATATCTCCTCTTTATATTCCAGGCTGTTACCCCAGCTTAATGAGACAAGTGCACTTGTCTTCATAAAGGGTTTGAATAACCACTGGCTAAACTTTGGCTGGGGAGGGGGAGGTAGTTAAGCTGTAAAGCAGAAAGCTGCTGATTTGACAAGAGAAAACAAGTACAAACAGCTTGAATTTGAGCGAATATTTTGGGGGAAAGGCTGGGGGGCGGGGAGGGGGCTGATCCATTTCCTAGTTATTCAGTAATAATAATAACTAACATTTATATAGTACGTACTATGTGCCAGGAATTGTAAGTGCTTTGCAATTATTGTCTCATTTGATCCTTACAATAACCCTGGAAGGTAAGTGCCATTATTATATCTATTGGACTGATGAAGAAACTGAGTCAAACAAGGTTAAATGACTTGCCCAGGGTCATACAGCTAGAAAGCATTTGAGGCCAGATTTGAACTCAGGTCTTCCTGACTCCAGGCCCAGCACTTTATTTGCTGCACCATCTAGCTGCCTCAAGTACAGTATTTCTAGGTGACACTGTGACAGATAGGGGATTTCCTTACTGCTACAGTGTCCTTGCTGAGCAGTGAGGTACTTTCCAACAACAACCACATACTAATTATTGGGAGGGCATAAACATGTATAATCATAGCCTTCAAGAAGTTTGCATGCAAATCCCTTTCTTTCAAGAAACTCTTCATTTGGACTTTGGCTGATTCAAAACAAGCTGTGTGTGTTCTTGAAATGAGATTAGCCAGTTATCTTGGTAGAGTGGTAGTTGAATTACTCTGTGGAAGCCATCCCAGGAAGCATGCACCTGGAGGTTTCCAGGGACATGGTGACTAAATTCTTGGTCCATCTGTCTTCTTGTCTACTTCTAGCCATATGGTAGCTCAGTGTGAGATGGTTAGACATTCCTTTTACTGAGCAGGAAGAGCTGATGACAAAGTAGATATGTAAAAGGGAGCGACCATACCTTTAGTCTCTCTTCTTTTACCGCTTGGGATCAGGACTGCTTTGAGCTGCATCCTGAGGAGAGGATGCTTCCCTTCTTTCCTACAGCCTTCATCATATATATGTAAACCTCTACATGCATACAAATGTATAACTATTCCCTTGAGATAAAGGAACTTGGCCAATATTTCACTACTGGAGCATCATGATATGCATTGGTGTCTATTTAGAATTAGATTCAAGGGAAGCAATCACTTAAGTTGTTCCTTGTCAGTTTTCTTAAACCGTATGATATGGTCTCTACAACTGAGAGAGAAGCTTCTGACTTACCAAATCCCTCAGCCCAGCTGCCACGCAGGCCATGAGCCCATGGCACATAAAGCACATGTCTTGCCTAGGTGAGAGTGAGTCTCTTTTGTTTATTCTTGCCTGATCTTAGGCGGGTGAGTCTCTATCATAAGATGGCAGAGTCTAGGGTTGAAGGTGACCTATTGTTTGTAAGAGGTCTAGAGATTCTGGATCTTTTTGGTCAGAGCTGACTAGGGGCCTGGGGAGGAGTTCTCAGAAGCTGTCTTAGCACTCTTGAAGAAAATGACCACAAGTGAATGAGACCAAGCCCTGGGCTGGTTTGCCAAATTACATGGACCTTGATGAAAACGGGACATAACAGAGGTGGAATATAAAATACCCAATCAGCAGTCCTGCCAACTGCTTTATCTTCTGCTGAAGTTTAAGTATCAGCCTTGCCAAGCGACTGTAACAGTAGTTGTAAGCTACCAAATTCTGTTTTAAGTCATTGTTAATCCACACTGTGAATCTTTTGTGTATTTTAGAATCTCCTTTATATGTATGAAATTAAAGACTTGTCCCTGTACCATGCCTGATTTATATTGTATATTAAGTAGCTGTTTGCTTCCCACTTTGGGGAGATCTACAAATGAGCCACAATTTAAACTTCAAATAATTTGTTCTTGAGGTACCAAGGTGATGGTTTAGTCAGCTGGAGAGTAGAAGAAAAGGGAGCCTATCCTGCCTTCTCATTAGAGGCCAGGTTTCTCCCAGGACTGAACTCAATCCAGACCTCACTCCTGGGTTCAGAACAAAGTGGCTCCTTAGAGAAGACAGTGGGAACAGTGCCCCAAGGCTCCTGGGCCCAGCGATGGTCGATCAATGAAAGACTTGTATTAATTCAATGAAAAGCAAAATGTTTTGTTTATTTGTAGGGTATTATGTTTCCAGCTTGGGATCTTGTAACGTGCCTCCTATTCCAAGTGGCCACTACTTCTGAGGATGAAGAAAGGAGTGAAGACAGAAGCGCATAACAGCATGAATCTGCGTATTTGCAGCTTACGCTGGATTGTGGGGGAAAAGTAGGCTGTGACTTCATAGTCATTTCTGAGTCAATCAAGTACAATGTCTGCCTTCCTGAACATATCCTTAACCTTCAGCCTTTGATACTTAGTTGATACCCCTCTTTCTTGACCATATAGGGATAATCGATCTAGAGTTGTAAAAGACACCAGAGGCTGCTTAACTCAATCATCTCAGTTTATGAGTGATCAAACAGGGGGCCGAGAAGATTAAGTGGCATGCTCAAGGTCACGTCAGAATCATGATTGAACCCAGGTCCTCTGCCTCTAGCGATCTTTCCACTGTACCACACTCTGCTTCATTCCCCCCCCCCTTTAAATCATATATATGCACACTTACATATATAGAAATATTCCCTCGCGATAATGGAACTTAGCCCTGTGATATGCATTCATATCTGGTTAGAATTAGGGACGAGGCGATTAGTCATTAAATTGTTCTTTGTCAATTTTCTTAACCCAGATGATATGGTCTCTACCAGTGAGAGAGAAGTTTTTGGTTGAATTTGTTCATGAATCCTAATTAGATGCGGTATGTTATGTTCCAGACCCCAATATGTAATGAGATCATCATCTTATCCTCCATAGACTCCAGATGACTTTCTTGACTCTGGAGAAAAACAAACACTGCATTATTCCTCCTGGCAAGCTAGCTTTGCAGCTCTGATGTAAACATTCAGAGCCATTCACAAATAGAATGGGTTATTGTTTGTTGTTGCTGTTTGTCTGAGGTGTTGTGACTCGACTTCTTGCTTGGCTTGGGTCTCCTGTTTAGCTGCTTTATTTTGAAACCTGTCTTCTTTGCTCTCTATAAACCTTCCTCTTCTATTTCCTTTCTTCCTCACTCATCATTCATACTCTTGATCCCTATTTTTATCCGTATTTGATTTATTAACTTGTCATAAGCTTGTCTTTTCCTAACAGTTATATAAAGAAAACTCAAAAGCGTATTCACAATTCTAAGTTACTCTTCTCCTCTTTATTTGGGGACAGTTTTCATGACTAATTTTACTTACACAGCATCCAACTTTGTCCCATTGAAGGCATGTCCTTGGACCCAGGTAAAGCCATTATTATAGAGTTTCCTGAAAATCATAAAGAAAAGAAATTAGTGACCTGTGACATGTGATGTTGGTCACTTTCTCAAGGTTTAGTCTTTATTTCTCTAAGGTCAGAAAAATATAGAATGGCTTTCAGAGCTAGTTGTGGGTCATGCAAGAAAACTGATCTCATTACTTCATAGTCATGCACGTTTTTTTTTTAACTAAAAAAAATGCAGCTTGATTGCCCACTTTATTCTTCTGACTTGGCTTTCAATAACTAACCCTGTTCTCAAAGGATGAAGATTTGTCACCATAGATGATAGTCAAGAGTACATTGAAGGCATTGAATATGGTTTCCGAAAAGGGTTTACCAAAATGGTTTGAATACTGGAAATAATACTGATGTAATAATCCCTGGCAAATGGCTAACTGGCCACAACCTTCCTTCTGGGATTTTTAGTTCTAGTTTGGGAAGAGAAGAAACCAATGGGAGATCATCCCTCTGACTGGGCATGGGCAAGAGGAGGAACACAGAAGTTTTCACAAAGAGGATTGGCAGTGAGAATTGTGGAGACTTCATACGCAGAATGAGGAGAGAAGAAAGGAGAAGCAGCAGTGTTCCTATGTGAGCAGCATGATTGGAAGGAGCAGCTGGTGCCTTCCACATCTATAATTCCCTTCTTTTAAGACCACGAGAGATGACCTCTATCTAAACGGAAAAACTGGGACTTACAATATGACTGTTTGCATTTTGTTCAGTGCTTGCCTGAGAGAAACAAGCTAGCTGGTACCTATCCCACCCCATATTACTTCCATTTCTGTTTTTCTTAAATTTACTCTGTCAAATAATTAATTTTATATTATTTCTCACAAATATTCATGATTGACCCTGTCTTTATGTTTTTGAGTGCCCCTTTGTTTGTGTCATGAGGGCACAATGGGAACCTTGAAGAAGAAGGAGACCTTTCCTAGTGCAGGGTTGGGTGCCTCAGCCTCAGTCCAGTTTTACTCTCCAACTGGGGACATAAGTGGAAGCCATTTAAGAACTACCTTTTCAAGTGTAGGATTTTTATGAATTAGAGCCCTATTTTATAAATTTGCTTCAAACACAAGTCAATGTTACATTGAAATAAGTAAAGGGTGGAATATTCTTTTTTAATATAGTTATATGGTTTTGTATATTTGTTTATTTTTAAAGAATCAAAGAATTACAGAGTGGGAAGGGATTTCAAAGATCTAGCCCCTACCCAAAGCATGAATATTATCTACTACATTCCTAACAAGTGGGAATTCATTGTCCATTTGATGACATCCACTGACAAGGAATTTACTACTCTTCAAAAAAAGTTGATCTCAAGCAAATATAACCAAAATGTTAGTGAGATCTTAGGGTCACAGGATTTAGATTTGGGACCTGGGGGTGGGCTGCCTAAGGCAATACTGATGCGGTGCTTGGGTGCTTATGTTTGGGCACTTGTACTTGAACCCCAATTTCTCTCTAGCCTCAGAAACACTATCCCTGACAGTTTCTCCCCAGCCCAAGGACCCTGTGCCTAGCACTTACTCATCAGTGGGCTGCAGCAGGACCCTTATTTCTCTCCCTGGTGCAGTTCCAAACAGCACCTGAAGGATTTATTAGTTTAAACTGGCTTTGCACTGGGTCATAAAGACATTCTTACCCACTACTATACTATCCTACCACCCTACCTCATTATCTACATCCTGGGCTCCTCATTAACTGTATTCTAGACTTAAGACATATGTATACTCCCTACATCTATCTTGTCAAACAAGACATTGATTGGTGGCAGACTGGACAACTCTTAGTTACCCCTGAACTCTAGTTGACTTAGTGACATAGCAGGCCTAAAACCACACCTCTGTGTGGCCTCCCTTGTGGGCTTTTCCCAGTGAACTCTGGGCAAAACAGCTGCTCAGTAGATATAACAAGTGCATGTTTCTTTAAGAACTGACCACTCTTAACCACTCCCTAATCCCACCCTGAATCACCTAGTTAGCATATTTGACACATGTCTTATCATATTTTATACTACATAAGCTTTAGCTATTGCAGGTTCCTTAAGAATCCTTGCCCACTGAAAAGCATAGCAGTAAACTTTTTGCAGCTTGACTTCAGATTGCTTGAGTCTGTGAATTCATTCCAGATGACCCATTTTGTATTTTGGTTTTTTTGAGGGGTCCCAACCTCTCACCCTTCATCAATACTACTATTCTTAGCCTATACATGGATTTTTTAAAAAAAATTAAATCGCATTACTTTTAAATGAGCTCATGGAACATATAACAACCTAGGAAGTCTCATCTGCACTATTATTTCTTCCATTTCACAGGTGAGGGAATTGAAGCACGAAAGGGACATGTCTAAAATAATGCAATTGCAGAGCCAAAGTCAATATTTATTCTTTGTTGCTTCAAGCTCAGTCCATCTTCCTTGAATCTGTCACAGTGCTGTTTTGGGTGCATGGCTGGGAATAATACTTTGCTCTTCTTTTGTTCTCTGGATTCCACATAGAGAATGGTCAGGTTGATTACAACAGTATGCATTTAAGTAAGAACAAAGCTTCAGTTTCCTTATTTGTAAAATGGGAAGGATAAATTAATGATTTCCAAGGTTTCTTCCAGCTCTAAATCTCATGGTCTTAAGATATATGTTTTCACTGTGTTCCAGAAGTAAGAGTAATGTTGTAGTAATTTCTTTCCAATACTATGAAGAGAAGAGGAGGCTCCTGGACATTTGAAATACTCTTAATTTGACTTAAAACAGATAAGACAATAATAATAGTGGCTGGCATTTGTATAGTGTTTTAAGGTTTGTAAAGTACTGTATATACGTTATCTCATTTCATCCTCACGCCAACCCTGTGAGGTAGGTGCTATTATTATCCCCCTTTTACAGATGAAGAAACTGATGTTATGGGAGGTAGAGTGATTTGTCCAGGGTGACATGGTCAGTAAACATCTGAGGGAGTATTTGAACTCAGGTCTTTCAGACTCCAAATCCAACACGCTGTATTCACTGTGTCACTGAGCTAATAATAATAATAAATAATAGATAACAGAATCCAAAGGAAAGGAATTTTTCAAGTAAAGAAACAGGAGGGAAAGGTGAGGAATTTAGACTGAAATTTCCATTTCATCAGAACTATGGTTTGGCTCTTGTGTATGCTTATTTCCAGATGCTTGTAATTCTTGATTTTCCTTCCACAGGGAGAGAGAAAGAAAGGGAGGAAGAGAGAGCAGCAGCAGCAGAAGAAGAGGAAGAAGTGGAGGAGGGGAGGAAGAGATGGAGGATGGACATTGACAGCAAGGTAATTAGCTAGACTTCCCAGGCTTAGATTGGGTTCAGTTAAAAGGCATATTCTGTTAAAGCACTTAATGCTTCTGCAGAGGAGCTCTTTCCCTTCAAAAAAGTGTACGCTCCTCTAGGAGCATAAAGAACTAAGTTATTTTCCCCCTCACTTAATCTATCCCCACAGTTAGAAACTGAATTTCCCAGGTTTCAGGAGATTTTTTAAAAAAATATGCTTTTGATAACATACAATGAGCTTAGCCATTCTAAACCAAAAGGAGTAGGCTTGTGTAGCAGCACTACTGGGCCCATACAATGCGTACCCTTTCAGAAGCTTAACAAACTTCACTGGGGAAATGTGCCTTTGAGTTATTGAGCTGAAGTGTAATGAGTATATGGTATATGGTAATGAATTGAATAGAATGGTAGGGGTGACAGGAATTCAGCAGGAAGGACTTACAAGGTTAAGGTCTCATTGCACAGCCCTTGGAAAGCATTCACAGGAATTGAAGTTATAAAAGGGTTATCTGTAATTTCACTGCAATAAGGAGAAAAAGAAAAAACTATCATGAGAAAAAAAAATCAAACATTAAATGAACCTAATCAAGGTCTTTTGCTACATCAGTGCCCTTCCAGAGAATTGTTATCGCAAGCTAAATCGAAACTCATTTCTATTTTAATCCCATGGAGCCTCTGAAGTCAGGCAGTTTGCTTGTTGGGTCTGCTCCAATGAAGTGGGAATCTAGTAGACTGATCAGCACGGGGGAATCAATAACTTAAAATACAAAATTGTACTTTTCTTAAATAAGTGATAGGCTTATTAATTGACAAATTATCTAAGAAAGGCCAATGTTAGTGAATATTGAACTTCTCCAACTGTGCAATGACTATAAAAAAAGAATTGAAGAAAGGCAATAGGGTAGTTAAAATTTTTGAGGGTTAACCAGAAGTACTTTACTGGCATAACTTTGCTGGATACCTGGATCTTTGGAACTTCTGTAAGCCAATGAGATTTCTTGAAAATAACTTGTCCCTTTAATTTGACTTTTTTTTTTTTGGTGAGGTAATTGCGGTTAAGTGACTTGCCCAGAATCACGCAACTGGTGAGTGTTATGTGTCTGAGGTCACGTTTGAACTCAGGTTCTCCTGACTCCAGGGCCAGTGCTCTATCTACTGTGCCACCTAGCTGCCCCCTTGACTTATCCCTTTATATGGACAATGCCACACTGAAGCAGGGTATTCCATTAGTTCAAATAGAAGCCTTGGAGTTGCACTTTTGGCAACATCTTTAGATGTTGCTAGCTCCTCTTCAAAACTTGACCTGTGGACTTCTCTGTAACTGACTTTTCCCATTGGTACACTGAGAATCAGAACTATAAAATGCCTGATAAGGTTATAAATAGACAGACAGCATAAGGTAGGACAGAAATCAGAAGACATAAGTAGTCAATAAATGTGTTTTGGTTGGATAATGAATACCGACCTAGAGTTTAATCTCAGTTCCTCTAGATAGGCAATAGGATTTAAATCTGAAAGGGATCCTTGAGATTACCTAGTCTAGCCCAAATCACTCATTTTACAGAAGAGACTGACATCTAGAGTGGTTCAGTGATTTGCCAAAGGCCATACCAGTAATGGAGAAGGAAACGGCAAAACATTCTAGTATTTTTACCAAGAAAACCCCAAATAGGGTCGCGAAGAGTCAGACATTACTGAAAGTTCTGAACAACAACAAAGGCATTTGTGGAGTGCTTAAAAAGTTAGGAAGCACTTTATCATCTTATTTGGGCCACTAGGTGGCACAGTGGACAGAGTGCCAGGCCTGGAATCAGGACAACCTGAGTTTAAATCTGGCCTCAGACATTTACTAGCTGTGTCCTCCTGGGGAAGTCACTTTACCTTGTTTGCCTCAGTTTCCTCAACTGTAAAATGAGCTGGAGAATGAGATAGCAAAACACTCCTTTTTTTTTTTTTGGCAGAGAAAACCCCAAAAGGGGTCACAGAGTTGGATACAACTAAAATGACTGTACAACAACAGTGGTAATAAATAACAGAATCAGGATTTGAACCTGGATCCCTGGACTTTAAATCCAGTGCTTTTACCATACCACATTGCCTCTTACACACGAGAAAATGCAGACTGAAAAAATTTAAGAAATTTGACCAAGGTCACACAGCTAGTAACGATTAGAACTAGGACTAAATCTTAGGTTTTCACTCATTCAACCAATTTTTGAGTGCCCAGATCTTCTGGTCCAGGGTTCTAACTACTACCTTACTTGCCTCTTTAAATCCTATGAGACATCATTATTTAGTAGCCCAGGCTACAAAGGGGGGGAAAAAAAAGAAAGGTACAAAGGATTGTAGCTCAAGTTTGCATACAAAATTTTTGTGGTTTAGTCATTTTTCAGTTGCATCTTACTCTTCATGACCCCATTGGGAGTTTTCTTGGCAAAAATCTTGCAGTGGTTTGCCATTTCTCCAACTCATTTTACAAATGAGAAAACTGAGGCAAACAGGGTTAAGTGACTTTGGTCCAGGGTCCAGCTAGTGTATGAGATCTGATTTGAACTCAGGTCTTCTTGACTCCAGGCCCAGTATTCTATCTACTATGCCACCTACCTGTCCCAAGATTAAGTAAAACAAACATGCATGTGAAAATGTTCTATCAAGATTAAGGCATTATTACTACAGTTACTGCTGCAATCACTACTACTATCAAAACTACAGACAATATTTACAAATAGAGTTAGTGTGGTATGATACATGGAAGGGCTAGGCTCGCCTCCAAAAACATTATTACTCCTTTACAGACTGCTATCTGTATCAGAGGAGGACGTTCCCACTCTCCGGTGTCTCTACACTGATGAAGTCAGATGTCTTTTATATTTGTTATTAAGAATAATAATGATATAGATACCATGAGAATTCTGATCTTGAAAGTGTTTTGTGATCCTGGAATGAAAAGCATTTTTATATGAGGTGCAAAAGTTTGCCAAACAAATGTGATTTATGAGAATTTAGAATTTCAAGGTTCTGTTATCTTTTGGGGGAAAAATGATTTTTCTAATTGATATCTTTGGAGTCCATAACATCGAAAACTTATATGCATACTTACAGTATAAAGAACACATCAGCTGAATCAATTTTGGTCAGGTCAGGAAATATTTTAAGTCCAGTATTGAAAATCCCACTAAATTACATGGTCAAAGAAACCAAGATAGAAGTTAGTTTTAAGAAAGCATCACAAACATGCATTAAACATATGATACCAGTGACATACTATTGCTGCATCATTCATCTGTTGATTTTTGTTGCACAGATTTCTCAAAAAATGTGACATTCCTTCATCCCTGTTTTCTTCTTCCCCACTTCAGGATGTTTTCCCCCTCCTTCTAAATGAGTGTTTCTACTTTCTGAACTGGTTAATCACTGACCTACAAGTGCTTTCTGACAGATGGTTTCTGTGACTCACCTTCTTGCTGTTCTTTGTACACAAGATTCTATCTCCCACCTCCAGGCCTTTGCACAGGCTGTACACTCCTCACTTCCACTTGTTAATATCCCTAGTTCCTTTTACATTTGACTCAAATGTCACTTCGTACACGAAAACTTTCCTGATCCCCCATGCAATTAGTGTCTCTTGAAATTACGTGGTATTTACTTTATATATACGTGTATGTGTGTGTGTGTGTGTGTATTGTGTTTACTGATATGTGTACACATTGTTTCCTCCAGCTGGACATAGGATCCTTGAAAGTGGGCATCTTTTATTTTTGAGTTGATGTATTCTGCACACAGCACAGTGCCTAGGTTGTAGTAAATGAATGGTAAATCTTTGTTGTTTATTATTATTTTTTGTTGTTGTTGTGAATGGTGCTGTGAAATGTCTCCATTCAGAAGGGCAAGACAGGTTCTACATTTTCAACCAGATATCAAGTTAGATGGAAACTAACGTTCATCTGGACTCAGTGAGACTAAAGTGTGCTTATTGGATTCAGATTCTTTTTCCTTTGGTTTTTGTTTGCTTGTTAAGCTTGGTGGAGGAAGAATATAGAAATTATTTTTAATAATAAACCTATATTAATTTTTTTATTTTATTTTCATCCTTAAGGCACTGCAAAATCCTAAAATATCTTTTGAAATCATTACTATATCATGTTTCATTCAATCACCATTTATAATATCTACTTTGGACAAAGCATTTTGCTGGGAGGAGATACAAAGAAGCAAATCAGTCCTTCCCCTTCAAGAGCTACTAGTATAGATTTGGAAAGAAAGTATAAATGTAGACTTTTAAAAAATAATGATTTATGTATATATGGTATATATGGTAATTTTATAGCATTAACCTAAATGTTTGATTAGCTATAACTAATCTCACTCCTGATCCATAATAACTAAAAGGGAATTTAATCTTCATATATACTATATGGTCATTAGTAGCTTTTTTCACCCACTTGAATTGAGCAAACTTGATACCTTAAGGTAGGATTCTTCATTTAGAAATCCCATTTTAAGTTTTTTACTTTCTTCTAAATTACTCCATCAATGCCTAAGCTCAGTTTCTTAGTACTTGGGAAGTACTCTATAAATATCTGTTAGTTGATCATGGTGTATATGAAGTAAATGACGTCTTTGTCTCATAATACCTGCATTATAACGTATGCATTGTCTTGATGTGTTTTAGGGAGATAAAGAAGAGTTCTAATGAAGGAAGGATTACTTCTGATCAGGTTATCAGGATAAGTTTCATGGAAAAGCTGATTTTTGAACTGAACCTTGAAGGATGAGTAAGATTTCAAGTGGCAGAGAGAATAGGCAAAGATATTCTGGCCATACAGACGGTACAAGTAACTGTGTAGAAGTGGGAAAAGCACTGACACATTCATGCAACAATGAGTACTCTAATTTGGCTTTAGAACATAGATTGCCAAAGAGAGGTAGGTATGCTAAAAGCCACAGTGGGCTTTGAGTGTGTGTGAGGAAGACAAGGAGAGCTGAGAAAAGTCAGGAGTGGGGTTAAGGGACAAGTATCATCAAAGTCATTGAAAAGCTTTGAGCAGAGGAATGACATGACTAGATTAATCTTCTAACAGTCTGAAGGTTGAATTGGAGGTGGTTCAAAATGAAAAATGTATCTGTAGCATAATTTAGGCGTCAGGAGTAACTGACTGATTTTTTAAAAATTACCTTTTTGCTTTTTTGTTTCATATCCCTTAAGTGCCCTGGACTGTCTTTTTCTATAATACAGTGTCTTCTTAGGGATGTAGTATCTTATTGATTCCTATTTCCCCTAACTACTGTCTTAGAAGAAAAAAGGACTCTCTAATAAAGTATGGGGAGTTCTGACCTTATAATCATCAAGGATAGTCTTAGATATACCAAAGAAAGGGAAAACAACAGCTGTCATCATTAGATAAGAGCAACTCTATGACTATAAGCTGAACTGTCCCTGTGAGATATCACAGATCAAGCTGATCTCCAAGTGGGGTTCCTGTGCTATTACAGAGAATAGCTGATCAGGTAATGACTCAGAGGCAGAAGATTGGGGGGGCTATAAACCTGTGTTGTACCATTCCCAGCACATTATTTTCCTCTTGCACTCTGTAGGCTCTTAATTGAAAGTTTATTGAATTGGATTGAAAGAAGTGGTTCTACTATCTGGTGTGGAAATAAAACCTTCTAAAGCCGGGGTTCTTGATCTAGAAGCTACGGACCTCCAAGGGTGTATACAGGAATTTCCCAGAGCCAGCTCTGACAAGCTCATGAGAGCCAATCTCTACTTGCTAATTTCAGTGTGAATATTTACATATGAGATATTGGCAAACTACAAATCAGAGCTTAATTTATTGTTTGGTTGATTGTGTAGACTTAAGAAAATGATGGGGAAAAGTTAATAATACAGATTAAATTTAAAAACATGTCATGTGTATATTTTTTCCCATTGAGTAGATTGTTAAACATTTACCAGTATACCTTCGGATAGTTTTCAGGGAGATCTGTGACCTTGTTTGGGAAAAAAAATTAGTTCTTTATTTTCACTATCCTCTAAGTGAAGTTTAGCATCTTAATTTACAAACATTTTTCTAATAAGGGGTCCATAGGTTTCAACAGACAACAAAAGGAGTGCTTGCCACAAAAAAAGGTCATGAGTTCCTAATCTAGAGGCATATATATGTGTGTGTGTATACGTGTGTGTGTATACATGTATATGCATACATGTACACATATGTGTATACACATATGTATTTGTGGGAGGAAGAGGTAGCTATTAGGAGCTATTAACCTTTGTATAGATACACACGTGTGTGTGTGTGTGTGTGTGTGTGTGTATCTCTGTACAAACACAGGCACATGCACACACACATACACATATCAACCTATAAAGCATTTCCATGACAAAGGGACTAGAACTGTCCTTCTGCTCCTTCTACATACATTCCCTTCAGGCTTCATGTTGTCCATCTGTGACTTCTTTTCCCTTCAAGAGGGGTCTTAATGCTCATTTAAAACTGCTTTCATTTGGGTAAATATGATCAGGATTATTGGAGGGAGGGGAGAGAAGTGTCATGTGATTTGTCCCAGCCTTGTCCCTAGGGACAGCTCTCACCAAATGACAACATCGTAATCCCCCTGTAAAGAACAGAGTTTGCAATACTTACAGGAATTTTAAGAGAGGCAGGTCTTTTAGGGCATCAGGATCTATGTAAGTTAAGCTCTTAGTATTTCGAATTTCTCTGCAAAAGTTAAAATGAACAAGTTCACAGGCTGAAAAATATTGTGCTAAATAAAATACCTGAGCTCTTTCTTCATTAGCCACAAAACTCAAAGAAGGAAGACATTAAAAGAACCTCAGAGAAAAAAATGAATGACCTTGAATTAGGAGATAAGAATAACTAACTACTGGCAGAATTACAACAACAAATTGCTCTCAATTCAGGAAAGAGAGGCCTGATCATTCTTTACTGCCTGTGGGAGCTAGGCTGCTTCTTGGACCTGTACAGCTGGACCTGATTTTAGCTAAACTATGTTAATGGGAGACCTTTGTTTTGGTTGTATTCACGGTAATTTTTTTGTTTCCCTTTAGGCATAATTAAACACACACACACACACACACACACACACACACACACACAGTGTCTATCCCTATAGTGCTGGAGGTAGTGGGCAAATAGCATTATTGTTGTTTATAATAGCAACCAAAAAAAAGCAAAACAGCTTACTCAGGAATAGAAGGTTAAGTGGTCCCATTTGCTTCTGTAATATGGTCTGGTTTCTATAATTTGCTTATTAAATACATAATGAATAAGTCTGAAAGGTATTGACTTAGGAAGTGCTACGAATAGATCCCTTAGTTGATAATAGAAATAGAAAGAAGGAAGGAAGGAAAGAAAGAGAAAAGAGAGAGAGAGAGAGAGAGAGAGAGAGAGAGAGAGAGAGAGAGAGAGAGAGAGAGAGAAAGGAAGGAAGGAAGGAGGAAAGAAAGAGGAAGAAAGTTAAGCACTCACTATGATCCAATAATTTGTGGAAAATGTTTGGAGATACATCTAACTTTGAATTCTGTAAGATCTGATTAGCCAAATTGTAGATGATTTAGGTCCTTTCTGAATCCCTCTTTCTCAGGCCTTTTTCCTGTTAATTAGCACCACGAGCAGAAGGAAACTCTAGAAGGAGAAACTCAAAACTGGTGTCTTCTGCTGCCTGTCAACTGGCTAACTATAAAAAGATACTGAGTTATCAATTAATTAGTCATTTTAGTCCCATAACAACTAATAATCGAGAGTGAATTGTAAAGACTTATTCCTTGTGAACTGGCAGTCTATTTAGAAAAATAATGATCTCCACTGCCACACTCATTACTGGACTGTGACACTGCTGATCACCCTCTTCTTGATACTCTATCTATTCTTTCTAGGTTTCCGTGATAGTAGTCTATTCTAGTTCTTCTCCTCCCTATTGACCATTCCTCAGTCTCTAATGCTAGATGTTTTTTCCAAGTCATGACCTTTAGTGGTAGATGTCCCCCAGGGCTCAGTTCTGGGTCCTCTTGTCTTCCCCCTTTATACTATTTTGATTGGTAATCTCATCTACTCATATGGATTTAAGTATCATCTCTGCTCTAGAGTCTCAGATTACTTATCTAGCTTTAATCTCCTGTTCTGAAGACCAGCATCTGCACTTGTCCATCTCAAACTGGATGTCTTGTAGACATCTTAAACTCAGTATGTCCAAAGCCAAAGTTATTATCTTCCTTCCACACAGTTTCCACTTTTCTAAACTTCCTTGTTACTATTGAGGACATCACCATCTGTCCAGTCATCCCAGGCTAAAATCCTAGGTGTCATCCTTAACTCCGCCCTCTCTCTCATCCTTTATATTCAATCTGTTGCTAAGTCCTACCAATTTTACCTTCAGAATATCTCTCATAGAGGCCTCCTACTTTCCATGGATGCTGCAACAACCCTAGCACAGGCCTTCACCTTACACCCGGACATTGAAATGGCCTGCTGGTTGGTTTCCCTGCTTCAAGTCCCTTCTCACCCTAGTCTATTCCTTCCCCCATATGTCACACTGATCTTCCTAAATTACAGGTCTGATCTTGTCAATTACAGTGGACCCCCTGTCACCTCAAGGATCAAATAAAAAATTATCTGTTTAACTTTTAAAGCTTTTCATAACCTGGTCCCTTCCTACCTTTCCAATCTTCTTAAACTTTACTTCCTTTCATGTACTCTGTGATCTAGTGACACTGGCTTCCTAGCTCCTCCTTACGCAAGATGTTCCATCTCTGGGCATTAATTTTTAAAAGAGCTGTCACATGGAATATTTTGCATAAGTTGTTCATTAAATATATAGTTTCCAGTCAAGAGGGAACAGTACTTGTCCAAGAAGTGTTTAAAATTTGTTTTTTCTGTTTCAATATTCACAGTCTGAATAGTGTACCTGAATTTATTTGTTACAAAAGAACTCATCAATTATAGCTTGTCTAAGTTCAAGAGAATATGAATTTTAATAGTATAATAGAAAGTCTGTCATAAGCATACCACTGCTTCTTCAGAAAGAAACTACAGCTATCCCTTCCACATCATGACTTTCCCCATTGTGGTTTTGATATATCTGTTTGGCATAAGAAATTAAATTTTTTGGGAGTTTTGCAGAAGCCACAGACAACACACAAAGGCCAAGAGATGACACAGAAAAACTTTAGAAACTCAGAAATGCCTAAAATATATACATAGTATTATATAATGTCAACATATTTTGTCTTTTAATACCATAATAATTTAGACTTCTTCTCTGGTAGGCAGAGAGGGCCAAAAAATATTACATGTTTTTTCCAGATCACTCAGGGGGTGCCATACCCTTTGAATTTTCTTTTCTCTATTGTCTTTCTACCCTGATCCCTATGCCATCATCATATAACAGCCCTGTTTCTAAATGAATTGTGTTAGGTTCTGTGTCTTAATCGCTTTTTTCCCTTTAGTGACCCTGGAAAAGATAAATATATTGTAGTCCTTTGGAATGGAGAAAAAAACATCATTATTAAGAATAGCAATAGCAAAACCAAAACAATTGAGATTTTGATGATAGAAATTGTTTAGAAAAGGACTTGGGTAAAAGACATAGCAACTTTGAAACAGCAAAATATTGGAACTAGATGGCCAAGATTGTAGGGAGAAAAAATTGTGCAAGTTTGTCTTTCCTGTGTTCCAAAAGGGGTATAGGAGGAAAGGAGGACAGGGACAGAGGTGGGGAAAAAAACCAGCCTTTTTGTACACTCCCATGAGTCAGGCAGGACCTCTGTGTTCAAGGGAAGGTTTGTTGTGAAGTTGTTTCATGGGAGATGAGCAATCTGCTGCTCAGGTCATCCACCCTCCGGTGTGTTTGTGGGATTTTTTTTAAAGGAGCAAGACCAGAAGAATTGATCATATTAAGACCAATGACTCTATGGGATAATAGTGATTCAGAAACATATTAATCTATGAAATTCTGAAGGCTCTTTCAGAAGAAAGGCAGGTGAAATAGGTGAAGAGAAAATGATGAAAATTTGAGTCAAGCAGCCTCATCAAGAACCCCAGAAGGTCACTGGTTTAGAGCAACTGCTCATATGAAGAACATAATAGAAAAGAGTAATACGAGCTTATAGGCATCAGTATCACTTCAAAAAACAGTAAAAAGCAGTTGAGAAGAAAATAAATCTGCAGAGTTTGGTGAGAGATCCTTCTGAGTCATATCCTGAGAGCTTTTGTACATGAAACTAGGAAGTTAACAAATAGAGATGTGAAATGAAACAGATAAGCCAACATCTGTAAAGATTTCTTCTTATAAATACTGATAGTGGAACAACCCTTATCTTTGGACTGTACCACCTCAGTACTCAGTACAACCACCAGGCATGTATTAAGTGACTATCACATGCAATACACTGGGCTACCATAAGGGAATAAGGGAGTATTTAAAAAGGAAAAGTGACTCGACCTGATAAAGTACATGCAAAGAAAGGCCATACTAGAAGTAACATAATTTTAAAGGTACTCAAGGATTATTTTTCCAAAATTATGGAAAAGATCGGGGGCAATATTTTAACCAAACAAAGGAAACTGAGAAAGCATTAACAAGTATAGACTTTTCTACTCTCTTATTTCCATAAAATCTTTAAGAGGACATTATGGTTGTGTCAAGATTACCAGGATGGAAGCAGGAGAGGGCTTATTTCCTACCATAGAGCTGGAAGATGTAGAGAAGAAAAGCTCCTGTTATATCTGCTATTTATTTATTATTATTTTTTGTCAATTGATTTGTAGGACAAAATACCATCTTAAAAGTTTTCCTTCTATTATTTATATGTTAAAATTATACAAGAGTAAGTGACAAATGTAGTCATTGAGATACTTTTATTTATTGACTTCCGGAGTATTCACATCAAAGAAGGCAATACTAGGAACACAGAGCAACATGCTCAGGTAAATTGTTTGTCAGAGTTATAGAGGATGTCTTAAGCAGAGTACAAACAGAAGGTTTTCCTATCCATATCAGTGGTGAATTTCATGAAATGCTCTTTTTCACAAATGACATTAGCCAGTTCCTACAATGTTACAAAACTTCTCTAATTAATCTATTACTATCAGAAAGAGGTTGTTTTAAACATCCACAATAAAAAACAAAGTGGATGAAAAATTCATATTGCTCAGATTACAATAAATAGCTGGGCAGATGGCCCATTTATCTAACATCTATTTAGTATTTAACAGTCACCTATATAACTATCTATCTCTGTCTCAAATGGGTGTATATGTGTTCTCCAATAATCTGAATCATATACTTTAGCACTATACCTGTACGTATTTATCTGCTAATTTATATCTGTCTGTCTAGGACACATGATGACAGTGAACATGGTCTTGAACCAGAGATAATTACAATGAGGAAAATGGGCTGGATTACATTTGGAATTTGCAAAATACTTTAAGTGATTCTAAGCAATGTCTTTAATATCTATATTTTCCTAGTAATGCCACATAGCCACAAATTATGAAGCAGTCTGACCACAGAAGAATCAAAGTTGCAAGTGACTCAATAGGCAATGGAAAAGATATATGGTAACTGTGTTCAGGCCCTAGCCTATTAGTAATGATGATGTATGCAAGATGTAAGGTGGTATATTGGTGATGACATGGCAATAATAGGCAATAAACAGATAGCTTGAGACAAGATAGCCCTTGAAACACCAGAAAAA